GGGGGGGGGGTGTATATGTGTATATATTTGTGTATACACACATTTAAACTCCACCAGCCCTATGAGCAATTTATTATCTACATTTAACTGATGAGAAAGCATAGGCTTAGAAGTTAAGCATCTTTCCCTACATGACAGCCAGTAAGTGGTGGATTTGGATAAGAGATGCTGACTGAGTGATAGGTTTCTTCTCAGCCATCTACTCCTGTGGCCTCTCCTCGGAGGAGGCCCCTAGCCATCGCAGATAGTGTGGGATCCAACACCTGGGAAAGGAGCCCTTCGTTTTCCTGCCCCTCATGCCAGCTAGAAGATTGTCAGTGGTCCCCGCCTAGTGTCTCTCTGTTCTTCCCAGGGGAAGGACTGCATGCCAGCTATGTCATCGGAGGACTCCTCAGCGTTCTGCTGATTCTGGTGGTGATTGCAGCTTTGATGCTATACAGGTAACCTCAGCCTCTCTGCAGGGGCCACGTGCTGGTTGGTCCTCATTAGCGCTTCTGGGATCTCCCAAAGCTCACTCATTCCACCTCTGACCAGCCTCATTTCAAGGTTGGGTCCCCGGTCAGATCAGCAGAAGGGAAAGGCAGAATTCTGAATTCTGACTCTTCTGCAGTCACAGCCCAATCCCTCATTTTATGACCACAGATACCCTTGGGATTTTCTTTATAAATTAGGGTGCTAAGGGCACAGTAGGTGTTACCCAAGGTCACACAGGAGGAGGCAAAGCAGGGACTGACTCTAGCATCTGCTTTTCCATGACCCTACACTACTTCAAACCACTGAAGTTGGAAGTGATTTTCTCTTCACACAAACACAACCATTTACTATATAATATTGATTGATATATCATTGCTCAGTAGGGATCTTCCTGGGAAGGTGGACTGTGTTGTTATCAATTTATGATGTTTTTATGACTGTATATTTATATATTTCCCCCAAACATTTTAAATACAGCTTGCAGCAAAAATGTCAGGAGTTTGCTGCTGCGGCGGCTCCTGCTGACAACAATAATAGTTGCCATTGAACGAATATGTCATTGAATCAATTCCACAACCACCTTTAATACAGATATTATTATTCCTTACTTTACAGATGAGGGTCTAAGGTTCAGAAAGTTTAGATTATGTCCAGCTAGTAAGACCCCAGCTAGTAAGTAACAGAGGTGGGTTGAAACATAAATCTGTCTTGACTCTCAAGCTTAGTGTATTAGTTATCTAACGCTGTATAACAAATTACCCCAAAACTTAGCAACTTAAAATGACAACCATCTGTGGGTCAGAAATCTGGATACAGCTTAGCTGGGTGCCTCTGCTTGAAGATCTCTTACAGGGCTGCAATCCAGGTATTAGCCAGGGTCTCGGTCTTATCTCAGGGCTTAACTGGGGAAGGATCCCCTTCCAAGGGCACTCATGTAGTTGTTGGCAGGATTCAGTTCCTCACAGGCTATTAGACTGAGGGCCTCAGTTCCTTGCTGGCTGTTGGCTGGAGATGCCCTCATCAGTTCTTTGTCTTATGGGCCTTTTCAGAGGACAACTCACAATGTGGTAACTTGTTTCCCTCAGAACAAGAGCAAGAGAGAGTAAGAAAGTGAGGGCAATAGAAAATGCAAGCCATAAATTTCCTTGTAACCTAATCTAGTATCCGTCACTCTTGCATTATCTGTTCATCAGAAGTGAATCACCAGATTCAGCCCACACTCAAGGGGTAGGAATTAGAAGGTGTGTACCAGGAGGCGGGGATCACGGGTACATCTTAGTGGCTGCCTGCCACACTCGGGTTACAGCTTCCCTGGATGTCACCCTCATAAAGATCTGAACTAATTCCTCATCACCTTTCCTCCTAAAGACACAAAAAATCCAAGTTAACTGATCCTGGAATGGGGAACCTGACCTACAGCAACCCGTCCTACCGAACTTCTACTCAGGAAGTGAAAATTGAAACAATCCCGAAACCAGCCATGTACAATCAACTGTGCTATAAGAAAGAGGTAAAAATTAAAATTTCTATTGAAGGGGTGTTTGGTTTGGTGGTGGTGGTGGTGGTGGGAGGTGTTATTTTCCAGTTGCCTGAATAAATCAGGAAGGGACATGGGGTAGTCCCATCTGCCACTTGGGAAGTTACAGAGAACAGAAGAACTGAAAGTGATTTGGGCTTCTAGATCTGTTGGGTTTCTAGGTCTGGATGCTCTGAAGGACCCTAGTGAGAGCAAGGTTAGAAAGCAGATCCCAGAAGATTTAGGGCTGAAAGTACATGAGTGTGCACAGGAGATACTTTGCCAGGTACATAGCTTCTTTCCCTCCTGGAGTTGTCATTCCCCTGCGGTGAGGCTGTGCTCCCTAGGAGCAACCCCAAAACTCCTAGAAAATGCCCACAGAACCCCAAGGGGTCCTGGACTCTTCCTTTTCTAACCTCTGATCCAAGCTGTTGGCACCTGGGGATGGGAATGGCTGGTGTTTTGTTGTTCTTCCCCCGAGCCTTAAGGGATTTCTCTAGAATTCTGAAGGGTTACAGGCATTTGTTCTTTTAACTCCTTTTTGCTCCAGTGAAAAATTACTTGCTGGATGTTGAGGCATGAAAAATAGTCCCATTTCCACTAGGGAACTATAGCCTTGGGTTTCAGATATATCTAATCTGACGTGACCCTTGTTCTTTCTAAACTCCTGTAACCCTTCATCAAAAGTTGTCCCGTGTGAGACCCTAAGCAGTCTACTCTCTTGGCCTGTCTAGCACAGTCAAACCCTGCCCTCACGCCTATTAGGTTCCCATGCATAATGAATACACTTTACATAATAATCAGGTACTTTCTGGATCTGTGAATTCCCCTGTTTAAAAAGCTTCCATACAAGCCAAACAGAGCCTGCAGGATAACTTGTGATTCTAGGGACAGACCCCTTTCTCAATTAATGTCTTTGAGAGACTCAAAGCTTCTTGGGTTCCTGGAGTGTCTGATATCCCAGAGAACCACCTCAGTAAGGGCCAGAGGTTAGACATTTAAATCATGTGACCTCTTTGTTCTGTTGTATGCTTTTTCCTCAGCAGCTTTTTCATCCCTCTGATAGTCTCTCACCCTTTCTCTTCTGATTTCCTCTTGATTTCAGGTACCTGTGTGTTTGCAGAGGGAGTGGTGTCCCCCAAATTGCTAGTGCCATGTCCCTCACCTCTCCCTAACTTACTCCATGTGTCTCTGTGATGAAGACTGAGTGGCCTGCATCTTATCCGACACTAATTTCAGCTTGGAGGGTGTGCTGGGTGACTGGGCACGTGTGTGCGTGCATGTGTGCTTGTGTGCTTATGTGCCATGTCTCTCTCTGCTTCATCCAGGGAGTTGTCACTCCCAGAGGGCAGGGACCATTTTATATTGTGTAATCACCCAAGTATCCTGCTTAATGCAGGAGCTCAATAAATATTTGTGGAGTTGAATTGTTACTAAAATAGGGCAGCAGTTGCAAGGCTCTTGGCAGGAACACTATCCCAGGGATGGAACCCAAGCCATGGCCCATTTTCTCCTGGCACTGGCAGCATGTTGATTGGTATCCCCCAGAAACCAGGAGTAAGGCGACCCTTTGAGGAGCCCATAAAGGGGGAAGCCTAAGTAGAACTTAAGGCTGTCCTTGGAACCATCCCCGGTTGCTGGGGAATGGCCCCGAGGCTCATGGGAGCAGAGCCAGAATAACCTCCCACAAAAGCTTTTAGGTTACAGGACCCCGATGGATTGACACTTAGAGCCCAATTAAGAGGATTTTTTAGATTCTTCCTGTTTTACCTCCTAAAACTTTTCTGAGCAAAATTAGATGAGAATTAAGAATAGTACGAAAGTAGCTTAAAATCCTGAGTAAATGTACATTTACTTGCTTTTGTCAGTTGCTTCTGATCAGGTATGTCAGCATTAGGTCCCATCAATGAATCACAGTAACAGTGTAGTCATAGCTAACACGATTTAGTGCATCTTCTGTGTCGAGCACCTACTAACTGCATTCCACGTATCGCCTGGTTTAACCTCACAGCACCTGATTATGAGGTATGGGTACTGCTATTCTCCCCACTGCAGATGGGGAGACTGAGTTTTAGAGATGTGACGTAATTTGCCCAAAGTGACGTAGCCGGTGAGTGTCCGATGCAGGACTGGAAGCCATGCTCTCCCTCCTCCCTGTGTGCTAATGGTAACAACCTTCCCGCTCCTCTCCTTTTAGGCTGAGCCTCATCCGTTTGCTCTGATCAAGTTTCCCCATTTGTTTGTGGGATCTTTGTGCTCTTCACGCCCACTCTTACCCCACCCACTTCCTTTTTCAGCTCACCATGTGATCCTTCACAGACAGCCAACCACTGATCATGTCTCTCCACTCTCCACGCTAGGGTGGACCTGACCACAACTACACCAAGGAGAAGATCAAGATTGTAGAGGGGATCTGCCTCCTGTCTGGGGACGATGCTGAGTGGGATGACCTCAAGCAACTGCGCAGCTCACGGGGGGGCCTTCTTCGGGATCATGTTTGCATGAAGACAGACACAGTGTCCATCCAGGCCAGCTCTGGCTCCCTGGATGACACGGAGACGGAGCAGCTGCTGCAGGAAGAGCAGTCTGAGTGTAGCAGTGTCCATACCGCGGCCACTCCTGAAAGACGCGGCTCTCTGCCAGACACGGGCTGGAAACACGAACGCAAGCTCTCCTCTGAGAGCCAGGTCTAAGTGCCCTAAGTGCCCATGTACCCCTCCCTCCCTGCCTGTTCCTTCTCCCTGTGGACGTCCAGTCCTTGAGCTCACTTATACAGCAGGCCCCCTTCTGTGTGCCCGTCCTGCTCCTGCTCATTCCACCCCTTAACTGCTCCCGAGCCCTGCACGGGAGCTGTTTCTATCTGAGTCCATAACCACCTGTGCACAAGAAACCATGGCGCATCCAAGAATTTAGACCTCGAACTGACCATGAACCTCACCTCTTGCAGTCCATCCTGAGCCTCCCCAAAACTAGGCTCAGTAATAATTCCTCGTCAACAGAGCTCCACCTCCCCTTCCCCAGGTGCCCTCAGTGCCCGCCCCACAAGAGCCGATGATCCAAGACTGCACGCTCCCCCATCAGAGCTGGCCTGACCGCGTCTCTGAGAGAGCTGGCCCACCAGGGGCTGAGCAGGGGGTCACGGGTAAAGAGAGACGAAGGGTAGAGGCTGAGTGGAGGAGGAGGAGTCCGCCCAGCTGGTACGGGCATCTGGGAAACCTCTAGGCTCGAGTGCACTGGTAATACGGAAAAGCTTTTAGGGGCGGTTGGGCCTGGGTGTCCTGTCCATTGCTGGCAATGGATATTGTTCTCACTCTAAGAGTTGCTGCATTTCAGTTGGTGAGATCTGGGTGTGACTCGACTGTTCTTCCTCCTGATGGAAGGTCTGGAACCTTTACTACCTTCAGATGACTGGGGGCCCCAGCGTGGCAGCTGGCTAATATCAGTTCCCTCCTGCTGCCCCCACTGGCCAGTACCTTGCTAAGTCTTTGACTCTAAGCAACCAGGTTGTGAACCAGTACTTGAGGGAATGTGGGGCCACGAGGGCTGAGTCTGCAGCATCTAAGCAGCACTGCCTAGACCAAGCATAGCATGTTACCTTTACTGTTCTGCCTCTCTCCCTCCACATTCTCTGGGATTTTGAGCACAGAGATCCTGAAACCACCTTTCAAAGAAGAGCCGGAAGTGTTCATAAGTGGTCAGGTTAGAGGCTTGGGGTCCCCAGGGCCTAATGGGAAGTGTCCATGAGATTGAACTTCCTGTGCTCTCTCACAGGCGCTGAGGGATCTAAGTGGACAGAGAGTCTGCGGCTATGGGTGGTGAAGTTTCCATTCCAACTTTCCCCAGCTGAGTGACTTATTTCCATGCTGAGACGCCATCTCTTGGTTCAAGTTATGCACACAAAGGACGTGTCTCACGCCAGCATCCAGGGAGTTGAGACTTTTTCCTGTCCTAAAACTTTTACCTAGTTTTCTGCCCCTACCCTTCCTCCCTCCCTCCCTCCCTGGTACTTTTTCTGACCTAGCCTGCGGCACCTGTGGTGAGCAGGGCTAAATAAAAATGCAAAGTGGGGGGCAAGCACTAAAAAGGTAGAGAGAACCACTGATGAAGCTCTCTCAACCCAGGGAAGATCCAGACCTCTTCCACCCAGGAATTAGAAATGACAGGAGAGGACGACAGGGGCTGAGAATGGAGGGGAGGGCTTCTAGGGGAAGTTCCTGATTTGAAACATCTCCTATGGTTACTGGTATTGAGAAGTCAGCTGTCAAATGCTCGTGAAAAAGAAACTAAGGACAAACCTTTTCTGGTCAGTTCTAAGACTGCTTGAGGCAGGTGCCAAGCCCTTAGCCCTGCTCTCAGCAGCCATCCAGGGTCTAGGCCTGCACAGGACAGCCAGGCCAGGCGAGGCCAAGAAGACTTTTCCAGTGCACGGCAGTGGAAAGGTGAGATGCCACTTCTAGGAGGAAAGATATTTCACGCTTGATGGGGAAGAAAAAGGAGCACTTTGGGTCCTCAGATTCACAGTTGGGGATGGGAGAAAATAGAAAAGTGTCATTTTCTTGAAAGGGGGAAGGATCTTATTGCACTTGGGCTGTTCAGAATGTAGAAAGGACATATTTGAAGACATATCTATTTGAGCACTGATTTACTATGTAAAAAGCAAAATCTCTGTCCTGAACTAATGGAAGTGACTGTTCCACGCTCATGTGTAATGGTTTTAACGTTACTCACTGGAGAGAATGGACTTTCTGGAGTTATTTAACCACTATGTTCAGTATTTTAGGACTTTATGGTAATTTAATATAAATTTAGCTTTTCTTAATCACCTTGCCTGGCTTGGAGTCATGACTAATAACTGTACCTCCTCTGTCTGGCAGACCCATGCCATGGGAAACCTGTTGCAGATGTCACCTCTAAGTCCTTTGGGGATGTGGGGATGGTGAAGAGCAATAACGGGTGTGAGGTTCCTGGCTGGAGGTTCAGCTCATCTTGAGAAAATAGGTCAAGACCAGAGTTCACTGGCTTCTGAAATCCTTATTTCCTCTAGAGGAAGGATAGCAGATAGGTTTCACCGTTGAGTACCAACTCTGATTGGTTGGTAGTGGCTGCCTGAGTTCCTGTCCACACTCCATGGGAAAAGCGTAATGATCTTTAGTGCCATATCATTGAGGCAACGGAAGGAAGTGTCATGGCATGTGTACCATATGTCTTCTATTTCTGCTCTAGGTCTATGAGGACTTCCGTGTCATGGAACTTGACTTTGCCTTGCAGTGATGGTCACTGGAAGGACTATCTGATGTAACGAAAGTACTGGGATGGGAACAGGGAGAGCTAATTCCAGTCCCAGATCCACCACTAGCTGTGTTTGATCTCAGTCAAGTTTCATAGATACTCCAAGAATGGACCCAACACTAAATTTCCTTTTATTTTTAAAAAGCTGTCTTGTCACAGCTCATCCACTGCATCTCAAGACTAGAACAAGGAATTGGGGATCCCTTCTCAAGTTCTCTCAGTGAAGACTGGGAATCACACAAGTCTCTATGCTAGATACAAAATCTGATGCCAAGGCCCAATAGTTGATTTTCTAAACCACTTATAGAATAATGCTCTCATCCATTCATTTCCTACTATGGGTCAAGCATAACCCATGCCTGATCACAGAGCTTTGCATCTGGCAACAGTGCCCTACCACCCTCCCCCCCCAAAAAAAAAGAAAAAAGAAAAAGAAAGCAAGACATATATATTGAAGCCTCTTACATTGAAATAACAAGAGATTTGAGTATAAATTATAGTGTATAATTCTTCCAACTTGGCAAGGGATAGGCCTGCTAGAACAAAAACAAGTGGAATAGCTCGAGGACACCCATCCCCCTCTTCACCATTCTTTTTGGGGAAAAACTCAGAGAGAAAATAAAGACATTTTAAGCAGTGAAATCCAGCCTCAAGCACAAGCTTATATACCTATTGGAAGTGCCCCCTCCCAGAGCCTCAGGGTTATAGGCCAGGCCGGGAACAGTGACCAGTGGAATTGGAAACTCAGGAGGAACATTTCAAATGGGAGGAAGAAATGGCACTGAACACACGCTATTTTCTTGGAAAACTGGAGATGTTTTGGGGAGAATAAAATAAGGTGAATGCATTTTGCTACCTTGTGACATGTCAGCCAGTTGAATTGGGCATCCGGCACTGCGTAGCCTTAGAGGTCACCCCAACCTCTGTCTTGTCACTTTAGCAGGAAATGGGAGAGGAGAATGGGGCTGGTCTGATGGTCCAGGTCCTGACAAGAACTTGACCACTGGCAAGTGAGAATTTAGTAACAGCGTCAAGGACTAGCGCCCCATTTGCAGGTGATATAAATGTGCAGGCTCTTAGTTTCCTTTCCTGATCAGTCAAATAGAAAAGTTGAAACATGATTGCTAAGGTCGTTTCTAGCCTGAAACTTGTATCATGCTCCTTCCAGGATATCCTGGGGATGAAACAAGGGTTGGGGAACTCCTGGTCTGGTTCTCTGGATCTAAAACCTACAACTCATGAATAGGGAGATGAGTCAGATTCTAAAAGCTGGATATATTTTTGCAAACTAAGAACAAACCAGAAGCTAAGATGAAAAGATCTCTGTGGCCCATAGAGAGGTCGCCGTGGCATGAATTGAAGTTTTCGCCAAACCTAGGCCTACAGAAAGCAAAGTCACTGCTACAAAGGAACTCAGAAAAGGCACGTACGAGAGCTGAGGGTATACAAGGTTCTAAGATGGCAGTCAAGGGCATCTAGTAAGCTTTAGTTATTTCTACTTGGAGCACCGATTTCAAAAATATGGTTGAGCCCTTTATATGACTGAAAAACAATCTATAAGTTTGCCCTTTCTTCATATGTGAAGATGACTCAACTGATCCATTTAATAAGATGTGTGTTTGGGGATGTTTCAGGCAGCCTTTGTTTTGAAACATTTCCTCACTCACCCATTTATTTTCTCTCCAGATCCTTCTCCCATTAACCAGCTGGCAGAGGCTAAGTAGAACTCAGCATAGGGAACAGAGTTTTATTTCCAGCCAAGGCTCCAACTCACAACTATGGACTCCCTGACATGATGTTAAAACAGATCCAGGCAACCTAATTAAGGATCTGAATTTAAACCCAAGGCTGAAGTTAGCCCCAAGCTACACAATCTGCTTATTTCATTTTACAATACACAAAGAGCCAAGAACTTACTTATCTTGCCCTTCTCAGTGTTTTTTCCCTCCCGTCCAGGCCCTGCTAGCGAGGTCCCTATCTCTCCCTTCTGCCTCCTTCCTCTGGTGGGGCTGGTGCTTCTGTGGTCAAAATTCTTGAAGAGCCTGCATTTTAGGGGGATATGGGGAAATGGGCTGAGAAAAGGAAAAAAGCTATTAATTCCATCATTCAGACAGCACTTATTAAATGCAATCACGTGCAGACTGGGATAGGCCTTGCAGTCTTGGAAGCCAATCAAGGCACAAAAACCCATAGCCACTTGAGGTCTGCGTTAATGTTACCACGAGAATAATGCAGGCGGTACCTGGACTGAAAGTTGAAAGGAAGTTAATCATTGAAGCTGCTCCTCTTAGGCTGGAAATACGGATCCATGTCCCATGGTAGGGAGTAGAATGCAGCTTGTAGTTATGGTGGAATGAGCACTATCCCAACCCTAGCAGGCTTTTCAGAAATATCCAGCACAGTTATTCAGCAGCCACAATGTTTCACATTTGTTTCCTGCTTCTGGTTGCAAGGATACAATGTTCACTTTAATCTCTAATATCCACAAGGGTTTCACTGCCCTATTAATACTTTCCTTATGTAGAACTATTGAGAGGCCCCTGGAATAAAGTAGGCACACATCAGGCCAATAAATACATAGATAAATGCTACTTGATGATAATCCTGGACTGCAAAAAATGATTGGCCAAACATTTACTGAGCACCTACTACGGGCAAGGTACTGTATTACGTTTCTATCACACCCTACAGGATCTGCCTCTCCTCACCCATTTTCTATCAAACCTTACCTACTACTCCCCTCCTACTGCCAACTACATACTCTCTGTTTCTCAAACCTGCCAGGTATGTTCCCAACTTAGGATCATTGCATAGCTGTTGGCACTTTCTTCCTCTAGATATACTCAGGGCTAACTCCTTTCCCTTTTTCAAGTCTTTGCTCAAATGTAATCTTCTCAATCAAACCTACTATGACCGCCCTTTACAAAATTATAATCTTTCCAACTCTCCTTCCCAATGCCTTTTACCCTGTGTTCTTTCTTCTTTTCCCATTGCACACATATTGTCTAATAGGATATTATATATTCATGTGTTGATTGTCTATGTGTCCTCACTATAATGTGAGCTCCACAAAAGGAGGGATTTTTCTGTTGTTTCGATTTTGCTCACTAATTATCCCAAGTGCCTAGAACAGTCCCAGCACATACTAGGTGCTCAATAAATATTTGTTGAATGAATGAGCGAAGAAATTAATGGAATCAGACACCTATTGCCCACTGTCTAGCATGGCTTCACCTGAACCATGTAAAACAAAAAGGGATTTTGACGTGTTGTTCTAAAACTCTCTGGAAGCCAGACTCCACACAAGCTTTACTGAGCAAATTTCAGGTCATCATTGCCCTCTCCATAAATGTAATATTCCGTTTATTTCCAATATATTTAAATAAAATAAACATGCCAATGGCCAATGACTGAAGAAGACTATTTCTATGTATTCATAACCCAGTTATCAAAGGTTACTGTGACTTTTTTGCTCTGGTTCCTCTCTCCTTCCCCTACCTATGGATCTGTCTTCATCTCCCATTTCTATTCTCCCCACTTTCCCATTCTGTGGTCTCATCCACTACCACAATTTCATTTTTCACTCTAGAGAGGTGACTCCCAAATCTATATCATTTGAGTCCTAGTCTCTTCTCCCAGTTTCATTCTATATTTTCTAGGCCTACTTAGGTGATTCCACTTGAATATCTCATTGGTACGTAAAAGGAAACAAGTCTAAAGCTAAACTCCTGTTTTCCCTTTGAGACTGGCTTCTCCTGACTTTCTGCTTTCATTTGGGGAATCACCACCTCCCAGTCCTGGCATACTCTGACTCATCTCCCTAAATGGGCCCCACCTCACCTTTGCACCTAATCTAGTTGGTTGCCAAATCCTTCACTCTTAAATCTGTTCTCATCATTTCCAGGGCTATTACCTCATATCACAATCCCAACTCTAACCCATTTTAGACAACCAAGCTAATTTGTTTTCATAAAGTGCAATTCTGATTTTGTCACTCCTTGGCTCAAAACTTTCAATAGCTCCCCATTTCCTACTTAAAGTACAAATTCTTTAACCTGGTATTCAAGACTCTTATAAGAATTGTTCCTAACTTTCTTTGTCAATCTGTGCCCCACTACTTCCCAACATGAACCCAGCTCTAAAATAAAATTCACATGTTCAATTCCCGACATACAATGCACTTTCTTGTCACCGTGCCCTTGCTCCTACTTTCTCTGCTACTAGACATTCTCCCTGTTCCTTCTATTAAAAAAACATCGATGGGAAAAATCCATTACCAAGTCTTCCTATAAAATAGTTTCTTGAAGTTCCAGGAATGTTCTAACCATTTTCAGGCATGCACACAAATACACATAATTTATAACTATATAATAAAATCACTCCACATATGCTTTTCTGCAACTTACCTATTTACAATTAAACAAAATTTGTGCATTTTCCTATACCACATACACAGATTAACCACATTTTTTTTAACAGCTGCATATATCATAATTTATATAACAAGTTCCCTATGAATGGACATGTAATTTCCAGAGGGTTTTTTTTTCTTCTATCCTAACCAGTGAATATCTTTGGACATTTTTGGGTTTTACATCCTTGCATAGATCCGGAGGATAAATTCCTAACAGTGGCATTCCTGGGCCAGAGACTGGGCACATTTTACATTTTAATAACTGCTAATTCACCCTCCTAAAAGTCTGCACCTAGTGTAGTGTCCAGCCGGGGAAATCTTCCCCTGTCCCTTTAGTTTGTCTGACTGGTTGAATAATTTAAACGGCACACAGCAGATTAACAGGAGGAAATCAAATTTTAATACGTGCCCACAGGGAGTTCACATGCGCATGAAAATTCCAGAGAGGCAAAATGAGGTCTGTGTGCCGTTTTGGACAGAGGAAGGGGAGGGAGGGTCGGCAAGTCACAGGACCATGAGAAAGAGCAAACATTTGGTAAACAAATGCTTTTGGGGGGGTCACCCAGAAACAAGGGACATAAAGGAATGCAGCACAGCCGAGTTTTGCTCGGCCTGCCACACGTCGGTCCTGTGTGCTGGGGTGAAGACACCTAGCCAAGGACCCTTCCTGAAGCATGTTTGTACCCCCGAATCTCTTCAGGCAGGTGAGGGGGGCGATTAAAAACAAACGAACAAACATACGAACAAACTCTCGCCCTGAACTTGTTAGGCTGTCACTGTTTCCAGTGAGAAACGACTTGGGGGCCAGGGTGGCAGTGCTGGGGGGTCCCGCCGAGGGCCCGGCCATGCTCCCAGACAGCAGGGCGCCCCAGTGGCTGCTTCTCTCAATCTTGACCAGCAGAGAGCAGTTACACTTTCTCATCTCTGCCAAATCGATACATTAAAAAAAAAAAACTGTCTTATTACTGTTACCCATCCCCTTTCAATTTTTTTTTAACCTACTGGATAATTACATAGCCTTTAAATCTCAGACTTAAAAAGTCCACCCCCTTCACAGATCCTTCGTCAAACTTCTCCCATCACTAAGTAGCCAAAGCCTCTTTTACATAGTCTCATACTGCTTTGAATTTTAGTGACTAGTCTCTATGTTTTCGTCCTCTGACTAGTGCAAGTTTGGAAAAGGAAGGAAGGAAGGAAGGAAGGAAGGAAGGAAGGAAGGAAGGAAGGAAGGAAGGAAGGAAGGAAGGAAGGAAGAGACTGATCTTATTCTTAGAAACACTGAATGTAGAGCTGAACAAGAGCCTGAAAGACCACATGAAGCAAGCCTCCCATTTTTAGAAATAACAGGAGTATTAAGCGTTTGCAGAAGGCGTTACCGTTCCAAGGACTTCTCTGGACATTAGTTAGTTATGTGCTTGAAGCCCTCACATTAAGCTTGTAGGGAAAACATCGTTACCCCGTGCTACAGATGAGGAACCTAAGCTCCAGACGATTTACTGACAAGCGTGGTTTGCTCAGAGCAGGTCCACGGCCAGACCCAGCGTCGTGAGCCTGTCGCCGCCCCTCCCGCGGTAGCCCAGCTGCCGCCCGTCTCCCTCACGCATTCAGCTGCACAATGTTTGGTCACTGAAATGACATTTTTAAAAAACCGCCAGGAGTTGACAGCAGCTTAAATATCGTAATCGAGTGAAGCAAACATGCTGATGGCCGGGGATGCACAGCTGTCCACACACCTTTTCTGCGCTTCTCTGCGGGGTGGTCGGCAGCTTTCCCTCCAGCGACCCTCCCTGTCCGCACGCTAGCAGGCGGCGCAGGTCCCCAAGGAAACGTAGCTGCGCGCGACCCCTTTAAGGCTGCGGGCGGCGCGTGCTCACAGTCCCTTCAAATGGGCCAATAACAGAGCGATGGGCGGTCTGCCGGGAACCAATAAACAACGAGGACACTGCGGGGTGTGCGGCGGCCCAAGCGGTTTCAAACGGCTTAGAGCAGGCCCTTTAGATCTGACCCGGAGGAGGTGAGTGGCCGGTGGGCCCGACCCACCCGCCCAGGCCCCGGGTTCC